GGAGTAGGAAGAGCACGGAAATGAGAGGAGCTTTCTCTCTATTTACTGCACCCCAGTCAGCCGGATATGTGAGGCTGTCATACAAGGTGGGCTGGTCTTACTAACTACATGCACACTGGCCTCAGCCGGCCTCGCTCCCCATATCCCTCCTCCACAAGCATCTGACCTTGGGATCCATGGCACAGGCAGCTGGAGGCTTGACTGGATTCCGGCTCACAGGTGTCCACGGCAGCAGCCTGGAAGGGGGAACAAAACACACAGGGTGGGTGCTGGTCCCTGTAGGGACACTCTCTGGAAGGAATCAAGGATACTCATCCTAAGCCCTGGCTCCAAGGCACTCCAGACCCACAGCAGGCTCCCCTTGCCATCCCACCGGCTGGCCCTGGATGGCTGCTTTCTCCTTCCATAGAACCTAAGCAGCAGCCTAGTGAGTAGACTCTGGAGTTCTCCTCAGCAAGAGACTTGCCAAGGTGCTGAGAGCTCCTGGGCTCCACCCTCCCACCTCACGGTCCACTCTCCCACCCAGCTCATGATCCTAAGACCTCACTGAGCAGGCAAGGAGGGCAGTCTGGTTATGAATACTTTTTAAATAAATACTTACATTAGTGAGTTTCCCACAAGAATAAACTTAGCTAACAAAGCATACCTAGAAGTTTTCAGGAAATCTGTTTTATTACTACCACTAATAGGGCGACTACTACTACTATTCCTTCTAACAACAAAAGCACCAACCCATCCACTCAGCCTACAACAGTTCTCAGAGATTCCCATTATCACCGCTTTGTTCCACACAGCATGCTGAGAAACAGGCAGTGTGCGGTGCTGATGCTGACTTAGTGGATGAGAAGACTTTGGGAGTACATTTTGGGAGTACGGGACAGCAGGCAAGCTAGTTTTCTCTACAGGCCACCAATGGGCAGATAACATAAATTGTCCATATGGAAAGAGTTCCTGTAAAATGTTTATAACAAAAGAGAAAGAATGCATATTTGACAATTACACAAAAGATTAAAGTTCCATACGGCATATATTCCAACTAAATAACCCATCATAAACAACTAACCAGACAAAAGCCAACTGAAGATTGAGTTAAAAAGATTATGTCCATAAAATGGAATATATATAACCATGAAAAAGAACGAGAGATCTGTGTGTGCATCCATACAGAAATGTCCAAAAAACCTGCCCGGCCGGGTGTGGCTCAGCGGTTGAGCATCGACCTGGGATCCAGGCGATCGGGGTTCGATTCCCGGTCAGGGCACCTGCCGGGGTTGCGGGCTCACTCCCCAGTCGTGGGCGTGCAAGGGGCGGCCAATCGATGACTCTCTCATCATTGATGTTTCTGTCTCTTTCTCTCCCTCCCCTTTCCTCTCTGTGAAATCAATAAAGATATATTTAAATAAATAAATAAATAAAACAAAAAACCCCCCTGAAGTTTCTATAGAACAATCTTAACAGAATAATCCTATTTTAAAATGTATTTGCCTGTGTATGTGTGTTCACACACAATATTAGGTTGAACTAAATGAAAAGGTCATTGTGTAGGGCAAAACCAGTCAAATCTGGCAAATTCATATGGCTCCTAAATATACAGGAGGTAAAAAACAAAGACTAGACAACCACTCTTCCTCAGGAAAAAAGAGCAAGACTTCTACTGCCCACCACATCCACTTAATCAAGCACCAGGCATACTCAAGTTCACTCAACATTACACAGGAGGGCTCAGTGCACTAAAGCCTGGAGAGCCTACCCATGCCCAGCCCACCGCATAACCAGCTGACCAGCTGTGTGACTCTGAGTGTGGCACTCATTTTGAGTTTGTTTAACATGCAGGCTCTGTGTTTGGGGCTAGAACAATGTTAAAAATGATCCCCGGGTTCCTGCCCCAATGAGGCTTATTTAATTAAAAAAAAAAAGCAAAAGAATTATAAACGCTTCTTAAAAGCGTGTGCTGCTGTAAGAACCCTTTTATATGCATTAATGCAGCCATCAAAATTCATAGTGCCTACTGTGCACAGGAAAAGCTATATATAATATATAGATATTTATATCTACTTTAATAGATATATCTTTTTTTAAAATCTTCACCCAAGGATGAAGATGTTTTCCATTGCTTTTTAGAGAGAGAAAGAGAAATATCGATGTGAGAGAGAGACATCAATTGGTTGCTTCCCACATGCCCCTGACCAGAGCCGGGGATCGAGCCTGCAACTGAGGTACATGCCCTTGGCTGAAATCAAACCTGGAAGCCTTCAGTCCACGGGCCAACGTTCTAAACACTGAGCAAAACCGGCTAGGGTTATAGATATATCTTTATGACTATAAAGATATAGGTGTTTTGCTTGGCTGGCGTGGCTCAGTTGTTGAGCATTGACCTATGATACAGGAGATCACAGTTCGATTCCCAGTCAGGGCACATGCCCGGGTTGCTGGCTCGATCCCCAGTAGGGGGCCTGCAGGAGGCAGCCAATCAATGACTCTCATCATTGATGTTTCTCTCTCTTTCTCTCCCTCTCCTTTCCTCTCTCTGAAATAAATAAAGATATATTTTTTAAAAATAATAATAAAAATAAAGAAACAGATATAGAGTAGAGCATGGAAGCCAACCCAGACTGGGTTTCCGGAAGAGAAAGTGCCACCTGGAAAAGAGAGGCAGGGCAGAAGTAGTCTACTTTTCTGGGCCTTGATGTTGAGGAAAGAGTGAAGGAACAAAAGGGAGCTACCACAGCCAAGCTAACAAAATTACTTAAACCAACATGGGCTGAAAGAGGAGGAACACATTTTCTTTTGTTTTTTAAAACAAGTTTTATTTATTTAATTTATCTTTATTGGTGAAAGTATTACAGAGACCCCCTTTTTCCCCCCCATTGAACCCTCCACCCCACATC